TTTTTTTTTTTTTTGATATAAAATTTACCATTGTTTGACCGATTCCTTAGAACTGGAGAAAGTTGTGTCTTTTATGTCGATTGACAGCAATCACTTTTGCAAAACTGCTTTGAAACGTATCTAGATTTATCTGTAGTTGAAGATCAGTTGACTGGATATAGTTTTTTTTGTAAAAAGGATTGTGAGCCTGTAAAGAAAATAAAGTATAAAATTCCCGATTTAGTAACTACTTGGAAAGTTTTAAACTTCACCAACCAGTGTTACCAAATACTGCGAATAGTTTCTTTTTTAGCAAAGTGGAATCAGTATTAGTATAATTCAAAAAAAGTTTTTGTTAACCACTTTTACCCAAAGTTATTACTTGCAAAATGATGACTAGATGTCTATTTCTTAAAACTTAGTCGAATAACAACAATAGAAAATTTGGAGGGCAGTGATATTCAAGTTTTTAAAAAATTTCTACGAATCTTCTGATCTGAACTCTATATAATTTAGTCCCTAGGTCTCGGTCATTATTGAATTGCAGCAATTATAGCCAGTAGAAATTTAGATAGATTTTATGTAAGAATCAATCGTTATTCTTTTTTCAGATATTTGCATTCGATGCATATTTGATACGAAATAATGAAATCCGGATAGTTACAATTCGGAAGTGTAGAAATAATAAAAAACTATTTTTACGGGTCGCGGCCAACGGTACCTCACAAATGCTTAGCCTTCGCAGTTATCCAGTTCAAAAATGTCCTTGGTTTTTTGCGCCACAGTAATTTTTCAAATCGGTTTTTCTACTAGCAAACTTTAAAATTAAACTGCAGAAGCTTTGAAGGTTTCCTTTTGTTCAATGCTTTTTCTGCGCAGTAAAATTTTTGAACACTGAATCATTAGGACATTTGCTGCTTTGATTTTCAGGTGTCATTTTGTTGGATACTTAGTGAGTGGTTTTATAACAAACAAGGATATCCTTACCTCGATCCAGCACGACATAATGCCAACTTTAGAAATTGGGAATGGAACGGCGTCCTCAGTGTTGCAAAGCATAGATTTAGTGGACGTTAGACTGAAGAGCACTATTGGACGACACACACTTGCTGTTTGCTTGCAGCCCATATTCTTTTTTGCTGATTGGACATTATTAATCCAGTTTTTTGAGGTATATCTTATATTTTTTTAGCTTAAAGCGTAGATGACTTAGGTAGATTTTTTCCTGATCTTTTAATGAAGTAATAACTTTAGATGAACAAAAATTCAACTAAACTTGTCAACTCTAAAAACATTTGACACTTTAAAAAGACTCGTTAGATTTTAGCAAAACAATTTCGTGCCATCACTGACTACCTGAATGTTTGACATCAATTTCTGACTAAACTGCTTAATTTTAAACCAGTTGATAAATTTATAACTAAAAAAAAGACTTTTTCTTGTGTTTGTGTAAAGCGCATGATTACTCAGGCTGTTTTTGCTTTAAAAATTTTTGCTGACGACTCCTAAAGAGCGAAAGAACGAAAATTTTTTTTCTGAATTTGCTTACTCATGTGAACAGAGTAGGTAATGAAGGAAAAAAAGTTCGCCAACTGTGTAAGGATGCAAATACGCAGGAGCTTTCTTAGCTCTAAAATCGTTCAATTTTTACTAATACCGTAATCGGTTAAGTAGGAAGAAGTTTTGAACGAAAACAGGAAGTTTGTGAAACGTTGAAAAGGCAGTTATAACACTGTTTGGTAAATATTTGCCAAAAACGAACTTTTTTTTAAACTTGATTTTGCCTGCTATCTGTACTGACTCTTTTAGTCTTCGTGAGGTACAGGAACATTCGTGAGATACTGCTTATAAAATGGATAAACTAGACGAAAATCGTTATGAAACCTGCTGCTGTTTGCAGCTGCCTGCAAATTCATAAAATAATATTCAAAAAGTTTGTATTTGAAAGTCTCGCTAAATCCTCCTACCTTTAAGCTTGTCTGTTGCAGACAATAACCTTTGTTTAAATGTTGATTATGATTCAGTGATCGGAAAGTTTTTAGTTAAAAATCTTGCTAAATTATCCAATCTTTAGGTTCTTTTCTCACAAACTGTAGTATTCTCGTTTATTTTCATAGAAATCATTTAGGAATTTTGTTGTCCCTGAAAAGTTCAACAGAAATTTATTTGGAAATGTTTATTTCTAAGAGGTTGTTTATTAAATATGTTAATATTAGTTAATATTTCAAATGAGAAATTTATTGTTTTATTGACGAACGTATCACTACGTATGCATATGATCATATGTCATCTAATTTTGTTTGAAAAATTGGGTTACGAATTTGCAAACGCTGTACAGATTTGACAGTAGTGCAGTGAGGCGGTCGCTTGAAACTGAGAAATCAGTGTTTTTTTCTTTTATATAAAAAGTAAAGTTTGGTTTCAGTTGCAGTTTTATTTGGTTTAACAAAAAACTTTTTTCAGACTTGGATTACACAAGGTGCAACAAAATTCTTCATTTATCTACAATCACTTTCTCCAGAAGCTGACGAGCTTCTTCGCGTGTATGAAGCTGATCCGGATATTGATGTAGAACGTGTACACTGGGCTCCTTTACCTAATGATGACCCTGAAAATGAGCCAAACAATTATGTTTATAGGGGCGAGGTAATTAGATTCTCTAGAATACTATTCGTTATTACTTGAATGCTAAGGTAGTTTTGGACAGAGGTGGTACTGCTGAGTTCCTTAGTCCAAGTTTAGCTATAAATTAAGTGGTTAAGCTTGTCACTGGACTGCAATGCCCACAGATTCGCTCTCAAGTTGCGCCGAAACAACTGTCGAGAGTTTCATGAGCATAGCATTTTTTTCTTTAAAGAGTAATTTAGGGAATACAAGTTTTTTGCAGAAGCTTGGCAAACTTAAAATTGCATGCTGAAGAGACAGTACTGACAACAGAACTAAAACTACAAAATTTGAATATTGCTTAATATACACAACCTACGTTATTAAGTTTTGAGGATTTTTGAAACTTTAGCTTTTCGAATTATCATCCATCAGTTTTGAAGCATTATTTCAGCACTTAGTTACTAAACACCCGCTTATCTGAAAATACAGCGGTGTTAATTATTATTCAAGAAAATGCCCAGCAGATCCTACCAGTTCTTTATCTGTCAGTTACGTCTTATGCACACTCTAATTGTGTATAATAAACTTGGATTTCCTGTCTTACTGACTGTATTTTAGGTAGTCGCTTCTGTCAACGACTGTGTTCTTCGAAGCAGAGGTCAGGCAAGGCTAGTAGTATCGTCAGATCTTGATGAAGTTATTTATGCCTACAACCAATCGTTAATCTCCTTGATGGAAAGGCTGCTTCAGAAACATACAAAAGCTGCAGCGTTTCTTTTTCGAACAAGTTTTGCGTCTTTTGAGGTTGCTGAGAAAAACTAGGTTTTTTAGTAAATTTTTTAGACGGAATTTCATTATAAACACAGGAGCCCTCTGCCAACACCCTCTGCCAACACAACATTCTTTTTCAGAATCAGTGGGCAAATATTACCAGCCCAGAAGAAGTCAACTTTGATATGCTATCTAAAATAACGGTTGACAAAAAAGTTTGGCCTGCAGGGCAAAGGAGTAAGGTGATGAAATTTCGCAGATTTTTATGCTAAATTAAAGGATAGGCGAAGAAATCTGAATTCAACGTTTATTTCACTAGTAAATATAATGTTATTGATGGTTTTTTATGTTATTAGCATAATAAATTCTATTGATTAAAGAAATAAGCATCAGAGAATTTTACTATTACTCATTGTTTGCTTCGCTACTTGAGCAATTTGTCATAGGCACTCTAATTATATTAAAAATTTTCATGGTTGCCTATAAACTTTATTTCAAATGGAAAACAGGAAGAACGAAAGATGAAGGTTTATGAGAGAAGTTTTTTAATTGTTTTTCAGTTTATGAAACAGGTATTGTTTACAGCTAATAATGATACCCGAGCTGATCGGTAGGGCTCACGTTCACAGTGTACTCTCAGTTGAAAAAGGACATTCGACAGTTACTTTGGATCCAAGGACTGGCATAGTTTTACACCTGAGGTGAGTTCTGTTCAAAACTTCTATATGGCTTGCGTGCTATATTTTTTTGGTCAAGCGTTATTTAAAAAAGCATTTGTTGGCAGTTGGAAGAATTATTGAAATGGCAATGAGTATTCTCAAAGAACTATTAAAGTACTGCCACATGTAAAAGCGAGTAAAATTTTTTATTAAAACTACAAATTTCTTTGTTACCGGCTTGGTTGTTTCCAAACTGCAAAGCAGCTTTTCTTTCTGAACGAGTCTAGTGCACTTTATTCTTCCTCACAACTGATTTTACCAACAAGCTGTCATTTTCGAATGATACTTTAATATCAATAAAAACTTGCTTTATTTTGCCATATGGTCATACTTTACAGCTGTTTGAACTAGAGTGCTTCAGAAGAAGAGTAACCATCTGATTTCTTTTTACTTAATGACCATTTTGTCTTTTAGAAGAATTCCTGACAAGAGTCTTCTTCTTCAGCTTCACGCAACAAATTATTTGGAACCATTAGTGCCTCTATATAACAAGCAGTGGAGAAAAAGAAAAAATCTAATTTCTAAGTTGAGCGCCTTCAGCATTCTTGCGGGCAACGAGTGGCCAAACAGAGGAATACAAGTAAATTTTTTTAGTTTTTTTACCAAATTTTGGGCGGAATTTCATTGGTGAAAGAGCGGATTACTGTTGTTAAGTCAAATACAGCAGCTGCCATCATTTGTTCTTTTTTAACTTCTATAATTGGCTGATCTGTTTAGTTCTCATTGATTTGCTACTGTTATGCAAGTTACAATTTTGAGGGAAGTCACATCTAATTTCAACTTTTCGCCAACTTATTTCTAAATAAGTTCCACTTATCTTTGTAGAGCTGGTATTGCTTTCAGTGGAACATTTAGTTTTACGTTATTTTTTAAGCAGGCCACGTTTACTATGGTATTACGAGTGAAATGGTAAAGTTTATTCTTTCGGTCGCTTACCATGAATCTGTTAAAATCTCTTTTGATCAAATTAAAATTTTTTGGCCGAAGCTGTAAGCGATTACGCTACAGATGCAAACTATATGAAGTTTTCGATATCTTATATTGTGGAATGAAATATCGGAGATGGTCTTAAAGATCAGGGCCGTCAGTATTAGAAAATAAGCCCGAAAACAACTAAAAGATATGGTAAGAAGTGAGCTTTCAAAATAGCGACATAAACTAGAATTGAAAGAATCTGGGTAAAAGTGGCTTTTGACAGTTACTTTCACGAAAAGCAGTATGATTTACTTTCACCAGCTTTTACAGTATCAGTGTTATACAGTAATTTAGCATAGAAATTAGCGCAGCACTGGAAGATAACTGTTTGAAAGCTATTAGTTGGTATAATTATATGGGGTTAAAGAACAGCGGTAGAAGACGTGAAATTGATAAAAACGGGTTTTACTTGGAGTTTGGGAAATGCTTTACAACTTTTAATCATTGTGCGATTTCAAAAACAAACATATTTAAGGTGTTAAATGAGGTGGAGGATTGTCGAGTTAGTATACACAAAAAGAAGGAGGCAAGTTGTAGTTCGTACTTCAAGTGTTTTATCAACATAACTGCGGTGGATATAAATGAATGGATTTGGGCAGATCAACGGTGGACAACTGTATGAATTTTTTCCGTGAGTATATACCAAAGAGCTTTTAAAAAATTAGCTTTTACGTCTTTTTGGCTGCTTTGTTATTATTTTGTTTTATTGTCATATCGAGTAATCAAACTGCAAGTGCCATAAAATAGAATTTATGTATCTGCTATTTTGTTTTTTTTTTTTCTTTCTTTTCATTTTTTCAAGCGGGTTCTATTCAATTGAAGATTTGACTGTTGCTCGAAAGTTGCTTTAGGGTTTTTATTCTATCTTATAAACCTGAAAGATCGTTGTTGTTTTTTGAATTATTGAATGCTCTATTTCGACTTTCAGCAGCAAAGATTTTGTTTGGGATCAATTAATTGTATAAATACTGTTTTACAAAACTGCATTGTATTTTACTCGGTTTCAACTTTTTGACGTTGACATCGAGCGAAATTAAAAAAAATCACTAATAGTATAATGATTTATATAACAGATCAAATGCTTTAGTTTTATTGTGTGGAATATTGCATGTATGTGTAGCTAACAAATCCTAATTTTATTTTGTTAAATGCTCACTTGAAAGTTTGTTCTGTTAGTAGATTTCGCGTTCTTTGTATGATGTTTTCTGAAGTTGGCTAATACGGGTATATAATTTGTGACAAGATTGAATTAATGTTTATAAAAGAAATTTAACTGTTTTTTTTTTTTTGTAGTTGGTGTCAAATAGCAAACAACACTATTACAATTTCCCTTTTTGAGGAGAATAATGTTAAAAGGAGTAGAATACAATGACTGCATTTGTTCTCAAGCATACTGTAAAGGTGATGGAAGTTTGTATTTTAAGCTTATTACTATCGCAACAAGTTATAAAATGGTTATTTGATCTAGAAAGAGGCAACAGTAAATTTTATAATGCTGATCTGGTTATATGTAAGATCTTGACATCTTAGACTGTATGCTGTTGCCAGCATTGAGTGGTCATTTTAGAGCTTTCTTTATTACCAAGTATTTTTGAGTCATGTGAAAGTCGAGAAGCTGTTAGTAGGCAGTAGTCAGAAGCATTTTGTGGCTTCCGAAAAATCATAACTAATACAAAACCGTTTGATAAATGGTAATTTATAATTTATTTTTTTTTAATTTCTTTTTAATTTTTTTTTGCTAAGATTCTGCGTGTAGGGTAGAATGACTGGCAAAAAATAAACATTACTACCGTCAGTGATTAATAACTGATTGAACTGAATTTTTCCATTTTCCTCTACATTTATCCTATTTTTAATCTAAGCAATAAAGAACTTTTATTACTGCTTAATTCACTTCAGTGAAAGTGAAAGATAAAGTTTACAGTCAGGTGAACAACCAGTATTTCAGAAAAAGAGACAAGGTGTTTTATTAGAAAGTCAAACATACTAGAAAATTTTTTTGTAGAAATTGCTTTGATTAATGACTGTTTTTTTTTT